TCAATAAGGGGGTTTTTCCACAGTTTGGCGGAATGCTCAAGTTTGTGTATTCATCAATAAGGGGGTTTCTCCACAGTTTGGCTGAAGAGCAGGACAAAGGGAGGGGGGACTGAGTGGAGCCATGAGCCCAGAAGGACAAAAAGAGCCATCTGCAAGGAGATGGGGGCCTTTACAAAGGAGGGAAATAGGGGAATTCCCCCACATTCTTCAGCAAGGGGGACAAAGGAGTTGGTGAGCTCAGGTGAGAACAGATGGCGGGAGACCGGAGTTCGGTGTAGGCAGGCCGGGAAGACTGTAACTTCTGAGTACCTTGGCCAATGGGGAAAAGGAGAGGGTGTCCCTCGGTTGGGAAATTAGGATAAAAGGGGGGCTGTGTCCCCCAGCAATTTGAGAGACCCCACAGGGATATGCCCGGTGGACTCTCCCTTTATTCGAATAAAGGTTTAGGACTCCTCTGTCTCCTTTTGGACATTCAGTTCTTGACAGCGAGATTTTCCGCACACATGTTTTAGGCCAGCTATGAAAGGCTGCTCTATCTTCACCACCAAAAGCCTTCGTGATGTTATTCTTCAGCTCAGCGCACACCATGCAAAAAGAATCAAGGTCATCTGCTGCCTTTGCTGCAGTCCGCTCCCACATCAAGGCACCAGCCTGAGACAAGCCATGTTTGCAGTTCCCCATTAGGAGCCTCTTTCAAGTCCTAACTACATTATGAAACAGTAAGAGATGCTAGGACTTGTAGGCCTTGCTGGCATCCTAATGAATATACATAAAGGCTGTGCTACAGCAGCCCTCACGGCGCGTTCCAGAGAAGCTATGACCAACAAATGAACTGCCTATGCAAGAATGTGCTAACAGGCTGGGCTGCACAAGATGAGCAGCCCTGCAGAGCAGGAGAGAGGGGAAAGCAGACGTTTATTCAGCTTGGGATACTCAACTGCCTAATAACAGGGCTGGGCAGAAACAATCGGCTCAGGAGAGGTGTTGCCCAGTGGAGCGCTGTTGTGCTTGCTCTACAAAAGGCAGACACCACTCAAGCTCTGCATGGTGTTCTGTCAACTTGCTTATCACATTCGTGTGTCTTGTGTAGTACGTGAGAAATGTGACAGGGCCATGCTTGGAGTTCCCAGACGTCTCGGGCCCCTTGTGGCAGAACCCAGGCTGCTCTTTGGGAGCCAGGGCCAAAGCTGCTCGCCATCCCTGCAGAGCATCCTCACAGCCCCCCGGGCACCCTGCCGCACACACGGGCAGCTAGAGCCACCCCCTTCCCCGCGGGCACCGCCGGGCCGGGCCGGCCGCGCCC